GCCGATGCACGGGACACGGGTTCGTGCCCCGGTCCGGGAAGATCCCACATGCCGCGGAGCGGCTGGGCCCGTGAGCCCTGGCCACTGAGCCTGCGCGTCCGGAGCCTGTGCTCCGCAATAGGAGAGGCCACAACAGTGAGAGGCCCGCATACCAAAAAAAAAAAAAAAAAGTGTTGACAGGGAAGATGCAAGGGTCCTGCCTACACTGGGGAAGCTGCATGTCAAGGAATCTAAAACCGTGGTACTTTTATTAAGAGAGACCAGACCCATGACAGGGAGACTACTCGACCCAAGGGGGCAGCAGAGGGCTGGGTGGAGAGGCTGGATCTCAAAACCAAGTAGAAAGGCAAGAAGCAGATGTTGACCTCAGTCTTCTCTAAGCAAGCAAGACCCCTCTTCTCAAGAGCTTCTGAGAGGCCAGGTGCCCCACAGGCCACTTATCTCACTTCCTATGAGAAACCCCACTTAGAGAAGAATCCTTCAACGCCACAATACTAGAGGAGGCCATCAGAGCAGCAGCTCCTCCAGAAAATGTTTCCTGAGAAGCAGCAAGTCAGAGAGAAGGGCGGGCAAACCAACCTGGGAAGAGGCCTGAAAGATGTTCACTAAAGCACCACATGGTGGGGTATCTGGGTGACAGATTTCACAATAGCTTTGTTGTTTTTTTACAATGATACATGCTTATTATAAAAACAAAACTCAGATGATGCTAAAAAAAAAGTACAAAGTATAATTGCTGATGATACTGTGGCAAACTTCCTTCCTGACACTCTTCTGTGTATAATTTCTCTCTTTTTTTAAATCAGAAGGAAAAAAGCTATTTCTGTTTTGAAAAACAAATGCTTCCTTTGAGGGAATGCCTTGGTGATAGGTAGTTCTGTATTTTGACTGTGGTGGTCGTTACGTGGCTCTACATGTGTGTAAAACTGCTCAGAACTGAACACACACACACACAAATGGATGCAGGTAAAACTGGTGAAATCTGAACAAGCTCCCTGGGTTGTACCAGTCACTTTGCTGGTCATGACACTGTGTTACAAATACACCAGAGATGTGTTACCACTGGGGGACACTGGGTGAAAAGTACATGGGACCTCCCAGTACATTTCTGGCAACTTACTGTGAATCTATAATTATCTCAAAAGAAAATGTATAAAAAGAAAGAACTAAGTAAATGCTTCCACAACCCAATATTTTAGCAGAAATTGTACCCAGGAACTTGGCTTTTGATTGTAGCTCCAAACTATTACCAAGAAAGGTCCAACAAATCAAAGATGTAGGTGGAGCCAAAAGTGCTTTAATCAAAGGCAGAGGCTGTGCATCCACCAGAGGGAGGTGGACACCCCCAGGCACCCTCCTGTAAGCCCCCTCCTCACTCCAAATGGTCAGCCGGGGGTGAACTGGCCCAGACTCCCAGCCAGAACAGGAGTGATTGGGACTGATTAGGGGCCAGGTCCCAGACTAAGTGCTTTCCATGTATTCTTTCATTGAAAACTTCCCCCGGCAATCTTTGAGGCAGCTGTGTTTTGCCCCATTTTGTAGATGAGGAAACGGGACACTTCTGGTCTCAGGTCTTGCAAACAGGAGCACCAGGGCTAAGGCCGAAACCCAAGCTGGTCAGACTCTTAAGGCTCTCTCTTTGGAACTTACGGAAAATGTAAACATATGCAGATGCAGACGGAAGTGTGTAACACACCCCCATGTACCCATCACCTGGCTTCACAATTAATCCATGGCCAACCTTGCTTCATCTCAACCTCCCACTTCCTCTTTTTTTGCACCAAATCCCAGATATCACGTCATTTCATCCGTGTATGTTTTTCTACGAGACTTGAAAAAAGAAAAAGTAAAAACAAACAAACATAACCACAATTCCATTATTTCACCTAAAAAGAAAACTCCAAACTTCTTCCTTGATCTGTGCATAAGGGCTACACCTGAGTGGAGCAGGCTGTGGGCCTACCTTTGTGCAAAGCGACAGCTCCAGGAAGCTGCCAGCATCCGCATTCTCCGGTGACGGCCGACAGTGCTGGGCTGCAGTGGGCCAGGGTGAGTGCAGGCCTCCGGCAGGGAACCTAGAAGGACAAACCAGCACACCTCATGAAGCTCCGTTACCTTAAAATCACTCTTAGCACCAACCAGGGGCTAAAAACAGCCCAGAATTCCTCCTGGGAGAGGAAAGTGAATTTTTGGACATTTGGGGTATCCACAGGCTGGACACACTCCCCAGTCCATCCACAGGGACAATAAAAACACACCACTGAAGGGACATTTGAAGAAGGCTTGGGTGGAGCTGGCAAACAGGGCCAGCCCCTCCTGGGGGGTGTTGGACACTTCACTAGTCACTGCTGGGCGTTACCTTCGTGATCCCCGAGAGAGGGATCTGCAGGAGAGAGCCACGGGGGCTCTCCAACTATTGCTCCCCATGGACAGAAGGATCCGCCCCTTCCAGGAGTGCCACTGAGACCCTCAGATCATCCTTTGAGCCTCCCAAGAACTTTGTACTGCTCAGAACCCCCGACCCTAGGCGATAGACACAATCAGGTTCGCCCGCATGTCACCAATGTTCCTCCTTCCTTGGTGGGCCACAGTTTCCCAGGTGTGGGCAGTTCACAGAGGGAGAGGCAGTTAGAAGCTATCATTTAAAACGGTCACATGTGAATGACGGGGTTCAAGGTTCTAAATTCCAGTCCTCCTCCTTTGAACCCAGATTTTTAGTTTTTCGTTTCCACTGAGGCCAAGTGAGCTGGGTTAGTGGCAGCTCCACACTATTTTAAGCTGCAGTCTGTGGGCTTTTTGAGTATCTTTGGTATGTGCCCCATCTCTCCAGCTAGATGGCTGAGCCAGGTTATGAGCTTGATGCCCAGTGCCGTGAACATTGCCCCAGACAAGGATGACAGTGACAGGCCCCCTCTTGACTCACATGTGCAATCAGACTACTTACGTTCCTGCAACTTCAGATAGAAAAAAAAGCCCTGTAGCTGACAACCCTCTGTGTACTCTCACTGCCCGTTTTACGGATGAAGAAACAGAACTGGAGCTAATGAGCTAGGAACTTGGCCACGGTCGATCCTGGGCTAGTACGTGGTGGGCGGGGACCTGATCAGGTCTGTCCAGTGCAGAGCCTTGCTCTAAGTCAGGGGTCAGCAAAATTTTTCTATAAGGGCCCAGGTAGTAAGTATTTAGGCTTTGCTGCCCACAGTGATCTTCATCACATATTCTTGTTTCTGTTTTGTTTTATAATCCATTAAAAATATATTTTAAAAAACTTCTTAGCTCAGGACTTCCCTGGTGGCGCAGTGGTTAAGAATCCTCCTGCCAGGGGCTTCCCTGGTGGCGCAGTGGTTGAGAGTCTGCCTGCTGATGCAGGGGACACGGGTTTGTGCCCCGGTCCAGGAAGATCCCACATGCTGTGGAGCGGCTGCGCCCATGAGCCATGGCCGCTGAACCTGCGCGTCCGGACCCTGTGCTCCGCGACGGGAGAGGCCACAACAGTGAGAGGCCCGCGTACCGCAAAGAAGAATCCTCCTGCCAGTGCAGGGGACATGGGTTCGAGCCCTGGTCCAGGAAGATCCCACATGCCACGGAGCAACTAAGCCCATGTGCCACAACTACTGAGACTGCACTCCAGAGCCTGCGAGCCACAACTACTGAGCCCACGTGCCACAACTACTTAAGCCCACACGCCTGGAGCCCATGCTCCGCAACAAGAGAAGCCACCGCATTGAGAAGCCCACGCACCGCAACGAAGAGTGGACCCCGCTCACTGCAACTAGAGAAAGCCTGCGTGCAGCAACAAAGACCCAATGCAGCCAAAAATAAATTAATTAAAAAAAAAAAATTCTTAGCTCGAGGGCCTGACAAAACAATCCCGGCCTGCTGTCACAGTTAGCCAACCCCTGTTCTAAGTCACTGTGCACTGGGCCTCACCAAAAGCAAGTCTGATCACTGGCATTCCACATTCCATGGCACACGAATGCCCACCAGTTTAAGTAAGGCAGAGAGCAAAGAACAGTCAAGAGGGTTGACTTGGCTCCAGATTTTCTCTAAGTAAGTCATCAAGGGTGTGTGCAAAGACAGAATGACAAAGACATCCACTGTAGCACTGTTTATAATGGGGGGAAACTGGACATAATCTAAGTGAACAACAACAGGCAATTGGTTAAATAGTAACACAACCGTACACTGTTGTACTACATTGCCATTGAAAATGATGATGAATGTTGAATCTTCCTGTCCAGGAAATTAAATTAGATCTAAATAAATGGAGAGATATACGATGTTCATGGACCAGCACACTTAATATTGTTAAGATGTCCGTTCTCCCCAAATTGATCTACAGATTCAATGTAATCTCAATCAAAATCCCAGCAGCCTTGTTTGTAGAAATTGCCGAGCTGATTCTAAAATTTATAAGGGGACTTCCCTAGTGGTGCAGTGGTTAAGAATCCTCCTGCCAATGCAGGGGACACAGGTTCAATCCCTGGTCCAGGAAGATCCCACATGC